TATACAAATTATATTATTTTTAATCATGAATAAAATTGTAAACTTTTAATGTTATTATATGTCATCTTAAGAAATTTTCAAATTGGCAAAATCCAATTCCAATCGGTTGCACTTTCTTTCTTTCCCTCGTTTTTGTCTCTTTCTTCAACATCTTTCTCTTTTCTTCTCTTCCTCGTCGCTCTTTCCTCCATTATTATTATGAAGTTTTTCAGAAGAAATAGGAACTTTGAAGATGAACTCATTTTTTCTCACGGTAAATGCTGTGGAGAAATATCTGATCCCCAGTAGAGCTTTCATCTCAAACTTGTTATAAAAATTAGGACATTTGAATTCTCAAAATAAATTTTAAAGCATTACTTTTCAAAAAATCAAATTTGCTTACAATAAAGCCATTGCAAAATAAAGAGTACCAAATGGTCAAATACAAGCAATCAAACTTAGCACTAAGTGATTCAAATAAATTTCAAACCTTGAAACTCCTACCAAACTTCTAATTACAGCAACGAAGGCTCCAGTGCTATATAATAAAAAGCAGAAATTCTTGAATGCCATTGGGTCCTTTTGTGAATGGAGAGTAGGGGTATGGGCTATTACATTTCGTAGTTTCTATTTCAAATAAGCAAAGGAATAGGATGAAACAACTTTTCATATATTTCATTTTCATAGGAGTCTATGACTCTATAGTTAACTTTCCTTGCCATTAACTATGATCTAAAATGGAGAATAGAAGAGGCACAAAAATAATGAGAAAAAAACAAAGAGAATGAAAAACAAGGATTAGGGGATACCGCTATTTCTCAATTACGAATTTAAATCTAATTTTTCTCAAATTTTATGATGACCCTTAGCACTACAAGAAGAATTTAACAATCCTAGAAAACTTGACTCAAAATTTTTTTTTTTTCTTTTCCATTAACTTTTTCTCTTGTAAAACTACAGTATGGCCAGGAAAGTGAGCTCAAACAAGCCCGTAGTGGCAAAGTCTTCAACCAAACGGTCCAAACCCCCGGCCCCAATGCAAATCTGTGAAATGGGCCTAATTTGTTTGAATGGGTTGGAACGACTTCGTGTATAAGGGCCTTTCTCGGGGGTACAAGTAGGACATTTCACCAATTAATTAAAGAAGGCAATCGCACGCGCACACCACTCTCACGTGCGAGTTAAACATCTCGTTTGGGTATTGATAGTTTGGTACCTCCTCCTTTCTCTTCCACTCCATAGGTACCAGGAGGCTCGCATTTTCCTTTTGAGGGTTTACCTGAGAGCTACTCCCCCTATGTGATCCCACTTCGGCAACTCCGGTGGATCTCCGATCAGGTGAACTTCATGCTTTCTCGGTTAATTTTCCTCTTCCAGATCCTGTTTGTTTACCTGTAAAACGTTTTCCGCGAAATAGAAAATTTTCCATGGGAGAAGAAAAATTTCGGGAAATTATCTGTTCTGAGCTTAATCGGCACCTGTATTTTTTGTTATGGTGTTCAATAAGATGAGTTTGGAGCTGAATTTATCTTTTCTGAACTCAGTTGTGCGCAGGGAAGGGAGAGTTTACGTGGTTTCATTAAATTAATTCTGTACTGATATTTGCCTATTTTGTTTAAAGGAGGATAGGGTTGGGTTGGACTGTTGGAAAGGGAGAGAGGGAGAGGGAGAGGGTAAGGGCGGAAGCAGCAGAAGTGCTAGATACGGATTAGCTTAGTGGATATCAAGAAGGGGTCAGGTTAAATTTGGTAGTAGCAGTTTTAACAATTTCATTTTTGGTATTAATGTAGAGAAGCTATATGATTCTGTGCTTCTATTGGTAGCATATTGTAGATTCTCATTTTGAATTCCAAAATACTTTGCAAAAGTGGAAACTTTGGTTGTCATTTATTTGTTCTGTGATGTTGCTCTCTAGTTTAAAGGAAATGGCGGCACCTTCACATAATGTTGAGTTGGAGGCTGCAAAATTTCTGCACAAACTTATTCAAGATTCTACAGATGAGCCATCAAAGCTAGCTACAAAACTTTTTGTGGTATGTATAAATTTTACTCAATAAATGGTCTTCATTGCATTCTTGACTTCTAAATTTTAATACTGTATATATATGTCTGTATGTTTACATTTATTATTTTGAGTGTTTTAGATACTGCAGCACATGAAAACAAGTGGGAAGGAACATTCAATGCCATATCAAGTTATATCGAGGTCAAACAATTTTATACCATCATTGTCTTTTTAAACGTTTGTTATTGCTTGCTGCTTAGTTCTGCCTTCCAGTGCATTTGAAAATCAGTTAACTTGAGTAACAAAGAAAATAGCCTTTAGAACATAGTTATAAGAGGCCTGTACCAAAATAATTTTTTAGTAGATAGGGGGAAGTAAATCAATATGATAGTTTTTTTTTTTTTTTTCCTGATGAATCAAAATTGGTAAAAAGGAGACAAGGGATACTCCAACTCATATAATAGTTGATCTAGTAAATCGACTTAATTTTTACTTGTATTGTTTTATTATATTTGAGATGATGGAGACATAAGAGGTCTTGTCTGCCTTTTATAGAATTAAGATGAAACAAAGGAAATGTTTTGGTGTGATCCAGGGTGTAGAGCAGATTTTAAGAGTTTATTAACTGTTAGTATTATATCCCATCATGTATGAAGGCATTAATTGTTCAGGTTTACTACCGATATTAGGTAAATATAAATTAATAATGGCATTAGCTTAAGGTCTTTAAGTTTGGCATTGGGTTTCCTTCTCAAATTCCTCTCTGTCATGAACATAGTTTACTATTGAATGACCAAATTTGAAGCCCCTCTTGCATTGGGATATGGAGTTTAAAGGAACTCAATCCACAATGGTTATTAGATGGTAAAATTAGAATGGTTGATTTTAGTGTAGTGCTGATGGTAGAAATTGGGTGTCTCGGTCTCCTATAAAATAAAATTTGTACAATTTTGCTCTCTAATTGTGCATGCCTTTTATCTATTTTAGGTGCTTTGTTTGTTTCTCTGCCTCTTATTGCATTTGTTTCTCTTGCATCTGATGACCCTCCTTGGCTTACGTCTATATCTTCTGTATCACCAAAGTTGTGGTGCTATGGTAGACATGAAATTTTCTTTCCAAAGAGCTTGTTGTTTGTTTTAAGTATTTTCAGTTTTTGTTTTATCTTTTACTTTTAGCTTTTCTGAAATAACTTTTCCGATTTCAGGGCCATGGAGACTGTTATAAATCAACATGGTCTGGATATTGAGGCTTTGAAGTCAACAAGGATTCCTCTGACCAGAGGAGCTCAAATAGGAGATTCTGCATCATCACAGTATGCTGGTAAATTGCTGTTAATCAAAGTGCTCTAGTCCACTGTTCTAAATCATTTTAAAGTTCTTGGCAGTTCGTGGCTGCTGGACTTTTTGTTTCATGAATTTCAACATTTTTTTCCCCAGGATCTTCCCAGGCAAGTGGTGTTACAAAAGATTCTAAAGCTGGCTTGGCTGAAAATGAGATGTCTAAAATTGATGCATTTGCCTCTAGTAGGCCACCTGTTGGACCAAGTAGTGTGGCCTCTGCAGGACAAGATTATTATCAAGGTTCTGGAACTCATAGGAGTAGTCAGTCTTTGGATCATGAAAGTCCATCTAGTTTGGAGACTAGGTCTGCCAACTCACAGTCACAGGACAAACACCAAAATGAAGGGAAAAATGCTACAACTAAGAGAAAGAGGGCTGATTCTTCATTGGAACCACATATTGAGAACCCCCAACTTGATACTCACAGTGCTGTGGTCAATACACGGAAAGGGAAGATGAACAAGGTTGAGCCATCAAGGGGCTTTTCTGTTAAGGGTGGTGAGAGTACTAACTTCAATCTGACAACAAGTAGTGGCCATATGGAACAATTTCCATCGTTCTCTGGTAACATGAGAGCAATGCATAGAGCCACTCAGGAGGGTCAAAATTTTCCAGAAGGCATAGTGGATTCAACAAATATTGCCAACATGAGGGTCCCAAATTTGCAGTATCCTGAAGATGCTGAAGTTTCATCTGCTCATAATGCTTCAGGACAACAAGCGGGTTCACTATCCTCCATGCATGAAGTACTTTCTTCTAGAGGTGTATGGAATCAAAACAAGACAGGGGTGCCATTTGAAAGATCTCAAGTTCACAGATTTTCAGCTAATGTTGTTTCTGGCAACATGACAACAGAAATCCCCATTCAGCAGTCAACACATGCATCTGTTGCATCAGGTACGGATTGAGTATGTTGCATGCAATATGCTATTGGGTTACTGTATATGTCAGTTTTCTTTGCTGGGAAAGATGGATCTCTTGTCTTGTTTCAGTTTTTACGAGACTGAACTGGTTTAACAAGTAGGCAAAAAGAACTTTGGAGTTAAATCATGCGAGTTAAAGAAAATGATTTGATCAAATTCTTTAGTTTTTGTTTCTTCTGCTGTCATTGAGGTCCTAATAAATTTATTGAAGTTCAAATGTTCTATCCAGTTTCAATTTCCTAGGCTCATTCAGGTCTCGATTAGGACTGGGGGCTATCTGAACTGGAGTATCTTTTTGGTGTGTGAATGGTGATTTCATAATTAATATCACTGTAATTTTAGGTGCTTTTGGGAAGGTTCATGGAGGGATTCCTGCCACATCGAGTTCATTCCCAGCTGGAGATTTCCCTGTTTCAATGCAAAATAGTGGTTCTGATTATCAGAGGCATGGATTATCAAAAGGTTTCGAGCATGATGGAGGAAGTTCTAATATTGTTGCTGATAATAGTAACATAGTACAGGTAATTGTTATCATATTTTGTCCACCTTCCATTTCCTTTAGTTTTTGGGCGGACCCTAGTTTGGTTTTGTTTGTTTTCAGAAGTGTTATTGAGAGATTTTTGAGTGTTGTCACTTCTTGATTAGAGGTTTTACCCTTTTGATACTTATTCCCATTGTAGGAGTTCAAGGGTATCTTTAGTAAAAGGTAAGTAGTAGTATTGTTTCCTTCAGTAAAACTGTGTTGTGAACCTTCTAACTCCTTCATTTGAAAGATCTTGATGGGTGAAAATAGGAGACTTCATGAAAATCGCTCACTAGAATTTTCTAAGTTTCCATTAAAGTGCATATAACTAGGTTATCGGATCAGGAGGGATAACTGGGTTTTGCATATGGTATCAATTATGTGTTATGGACTTGCTGCCTCTAAGATTGTTTTATGTTTAACAGGTTGGTCGGCCAAATAGTAGTTCAGAAATGTCAATGAACAGATCCATAGCTCCTAGAGACACAGGAAAGTCTCCTCTTTCTCCATCTCCCACGTTTCCTGCCACGCCTTTCAAGGGACAACAGTTGAAACAACTCAGAGCCCAATGTCTTGTCTTTTTAGCTTTCAGGTAGGTTGCAGTTTCTTAGAATATGCAGTTAGCCATTTCAAATATATTGTAGGGATCTTTTTCTTTTTGGTTTTTGGACAACATTCTGTCATGTCTCGGTAACAAAGTAAAGAAAAATTTAGCTCCTTCGTTTCTTTCTTTTGTTTCCATTTTCTCCCTAATCACCTCCCTCATTTAGTTGTTAAACACTTGCAGAAACAATTTGATGCCAAAGAAACTGCATCTTGAAATTGCACTTGGAAACACCGTTCCCAAAGAAGGTAAATGTTGTTCTCCTGTACGTTGTCTTTAATTTGTTTAGTTGGTAATGATCAGTGTATTGTGTAGATGGATCTCGCAAAGAGATTACTGACCATAGAGGCAAAGCACAATCTTCAAATGAGCCAGGAAACATTTCAGAAGTTGTTGCTCCATTTGGAAAGATGAGTAATGTACCCTCTGGTGCCTTATCTTCTGGAAGGTTCTTAGAGGCAGATCACTCAGCCAGAGTAGCTGAAAAATTAAAAATAATGGGGGACAAAAAAGGCCCTTCTCCTTACCTTTCAGTAGTTGCAGATGAAAGGAAGCCTCTTCTAGCTATAAGGAAGTTGGAGACTGAAATTCAGAGTCAGGAGACAGTGGAGTCACAAGCTTTTTCAACCATATCAACACAACAACCTGATTCTGCTACTATGAGAGGTGGTTTTGTTGTTAGTAACCCTGTGGACGACATGGTGGATGGTCATCTTCAAGTTGGAAAGGTTGATCAAGCCTCTCCTGTGATGGGCATGAATAAGCAATTGAATCCGGAGATTAGCTGGCCTGGTGTCAGCAGTCATAATGAGGTTCCCAGGGCGTCACTAGCTGTCTCTTCTGTTCAGCCTGAGATGGTACCTGAAAGGAAAGATAATGCTCCAAGTCAGCTTCACAATCCTGGTATCAGCACTGCTTTCACTAACTGACATCGAGATAGTGCTTATTTTCTTATCCATTTGGACTATCAATGATAGTCACTAAACCATCTATATTAGTAACTTTTTTTTTTATCATGCTTTTGCTAATATGGTGACTATTGCACAGATGGTCCTAAGTTCTCTGAATTTCAAACAAGATGTGTCTCAGCTGGGTCCAAGGGTGCTACTACTGATGACCCACTGAGGAATGGTGTCTCTTTTACTTCAGAACAAGATGAGGAAGACAAGTCAGTGTCTGCTGATTCACCACCATCTCCAAAGCACACCATGTCAGAGAAATGGATTATGGATCAGCAAAAACGGAAGCTCTTAACTGATCAGAATTGGATTCTAAAACAGCAAAAAACAAGGCTAAGAATTGCTGCCTGTTTTAACAAGTTAAAGGTATGTGTTCTTCATTCCTTTTTGTATCCTCATTCTTTTTGCCTATTTATTTACAAAACTCTGTAAGATTATCATGTATTATGTATTGAGATCAGAGTAATTTGCACTCGACTTAAATCTCTTCTCTGTGCACTATGAGGACAGCAACAAGAAATTACTTGGATCATTACTTCTTTCTGCTCTTTGGTGCATAAAGAAGGAAAGAAAAGAAATTTGTCCTGCAGAAGCAGCATAAGCAGATTGATCACACAAATTGATGTAAAGAGAATCTTTCAAAGTTTCTCTTCATAATGATGAAAATTTGGAACTTTAATTTAATAGCCTGTGAAATAAAAAAATAGATTTAATGAGAAAGATTGCGACAGTTATTTCTTTGCTAATTAATTGAATAACTTTCTGCTTTTAACTTTGTATATTTTAAACTTGTCCAGATCACTGAAAAGATTAGGAAAATTTTCCCCCTTTCTCAACATTATTTTGTCATCTAGGAAGAATGGTAAACATTACTATCTTCAGCACCAGACCAGAATGAGATCTAGGTCAGCATCAGACCATCTGATATCTGGTTTGCTACTTAAGTTCTGATAGGATTCTCTGATTGTATCTTAAAGTTTATTCATGATGATCTTGGGAAAGCAGTATAAGAGATCCAGGCAAGAGAACCAAAACTAGTTGGTTTCCCAATTTCTTGTTTACTGTCTGACATATGTGTTAGACCTTAGACCTTGTTACAACACAGTGCTTTCTAAGTGCTACCTTTTATGGATTTGGTGTGTCAAACATGCATTATATTCTGTGAACTAATACTTTACATGCAGGAAAATGTGAGCTCCTCTGATAATATATCCACAAGAACCAGAAGTGTCATAGAACTGAAAAAACTTCAACTGTTAGAGTTGCAACGCCGTTTACGGAGGTAATTTCATTTTTGCTTCAAAATGTTGCCTTTTACATCTTAAGTTTTTGCTGTAAAGTCACAGTGTGTTCGTGATTCATATCCAAATTACTTGTACTTGCTTCCCTCATTTAAGTTATGTTTTGTTATTAGACATGTTTTCTTAATTTTCTGCAGTGATTTTCTTAATGATTTCTTTAAGCCAATCACAACTGATATGGAACGCCTGAAGTCATTTAAGAAACATAGACATGGTAGAAGGATAAAACAACTTGAGAAATATGAGCAGAAAATGAAAGAGGAGCGACAAAAGAGAATTCGTGAGAGGCAAAAGGAGTTCTTCAGTGAGATAGAAGTTCACAAGTACGCATCACTTTGTTTCTCCTAACCACTATATTAATTTCTCTCACATGGTTTGCTTTAATAAACAATTTGCATTTGCTTGTTAAACTCAACCTCAGGGAAAGGTTAGATGATGTGTTTAAGATTAGAAGAGAACGTTGGAAGGGTTTCAATAAATATGTAAAGGAGTTTCATAAAAGAAAGGAGCGCATTCATCGTGAGAAAATTGACAGAATTCAACGTGAGAAGATTAACTTGCTCAAGATCAATGATGTGGAGGGTTATCTACGAATGGTTCAGGTTTGATTTGGACTACTGGGTTTTGCTAATCGGACTCTCTTATGATACTAATCTCATTAGAATATTATATTCTTGTTCCACTGCAGGATGCCAAATCAGATCGTGTTAAGCAACTACTTAAAGAGACTGAGAAATATCTTCAGAAGCTTGGATCCAAGCTACGGGAGGCGAAGGTTATGGCACAGAGCTTCGAGAATGACAATGATGAGGTGCGAACAGCAACTGTTGCTGAAAATGAAACTGCTGTTGAGAATGAAGATGAAAGTGATCAGGCAAAGGTAAGATTGTTAACTATTCTCAACTCAAGTTGCTAAGAACGCTGAACAGTGTCATTCTTTTTCTAAAAGGGAAACTTTTAACAATTTCTTTTATATAATTATCTGATTTGCAGCATTATATGGAAAGCAATGAAAAGTACTACCTGATGGCTCATAGGTATTAACTTCATTTTGTCCTTCATAGCAATTCTTTCTATGTAATTATAATTTCCCTTTGTGATACTCATTGGGGGGTGATTAATGAAGTTTGCCTTTTTTTTCCTTCTTCAAAAAGTAGCTTTATAAAAAAAAAAAAATCAAGAGTTCCAATTTTTACCCTTTTTTTTTTTATCTGTTTCAATTTTGTACTTTTAAATGCATAAACTGGATGCTTTGAGGCTATTTTTTTTCATACTTAGTTCCTTGTATTGACTTGTATTCATTGCCAAATATCTTACAATCCATGTTCTTTTCTGCAGCATAAAAGAGAACATCAGTGAGCAGCCAACTTATCTTCAGGGTGGAAAACTAAGAGAGTGAGTGATTATGCCCTTCCCTTATGATACATATATATTGATTTTTCTTTATATGAGCTCCCTGGCATTCCTTCACTCTCTTGTTCAAAATTTTGAAATTGAACTTTTTACCAACAGGTACCAAATGAATGGTCTAAGATGGCTGGTTTCACTTTACAATAATCATCTGAATGGCATTCTTGCTGATGAAATGGGCCTTGGGAAAACTGTCCAGGTATTTTTGCTTCTTAGCCTTTTTATTTATTTTTTTTTTTCTGTTTCGATTGGCCTTAGCCTTTATTCTTTCTGAACAGTGTTGATTTTCTAATTGGTTACTACCTGCTTCCAGATTTATGTTGTAATTTTGTATCTGTAGGTTATCTCTTTGATTTGTTACCTGATGGAAACAAAAAACGATAGAGGACCATTTTTAGTTGTTGTGCCATCTTCAGTTCTGCCTGGATGGGAAACGGAAATCAATTTCTGGGCCCCTGGAATACATAAAATTGTCTACGCAGGGCCTCCAGAAGAGAGGCGTAGGTTATTCAAGTAATGACACATAGAACTGAAAAGAAAACACCCAATAGTTTACTCTTTGATACTGAAATATATTTCTTGCCTTCATGAACCCTTTCTCTTGCAGGGAAAGAATTGTACATCAGAAATTCAATATCCTCCTGACAACATATGAGTATCTGATGAATAAGCATGACAGACCTAAACTGAGCAAGATACACTGGCATTATATTATAATTGATGAAGGTCATCGTATTAAAAATGCTTCTTGCAAGTTGAATGCTGATTTGAAGCATTATCACAGTTCTCACAGATTGCTGTTGACTGGAACTCCATTACAGGTCACATATAATTTCTACTGTGCTTCTCATTTTGTTCTTTCCTTTTCTCTTGTTCAACATAAGCAGTACAAACATAAGCTAACTTCCTTGTATGTGGTCTATCTTTGTTTTCTGCTTTGTTGCTTGTTAACTTTTTGTTGTTCTTGCAATATATGACTTGATTTTATCATCCCTTCCCTTCTATGTAGAACAATCTTGAGGAGTTGTGGGCTCTACTTAATTTTTTATTGCCCAATATATTTAATTCATCAGAAGATTTTTCTCAGTGGTTCAACAAACCATTTGAGAGTAATGGAGATAATTCAGCTGATGAAGTAAGCTCTGAACTTGTCTTGGTATAAAGATATGGATATTATATGCTACTTTAATATTTAAAATCTTGTCTCTATGCTTTAATTGGAGTAGGCTTTATTATCTGAGGAGGAGAATCTGTTGATCATAAACCGCCTGCACCAGGTTCTTCGACCATTTGTACTTCGGAGGCTAAAGCACAAGGTCTGTAAAGTTGCTTTTAGTTTTTTTCAATAAATTGGCAATTCTTCTTTGTATATTAAAACTTGTTGTGTTCTGGCATTGTTTTATGCATTTCTTGGACACCAATAACCAAATTGAGGTTTTAGCCAATATGTTTAAGTGACAGTTTTTTTGAGTTACATTCTTCCCAACAACATTACTCTGAAAGGTATTTTAATTTGTTATTTTGCTTGCACTCTGTTTCTTTATGCTAGGTTGAAAATGAACTTCCTGAGAAGATTGAGAGACTTGTAAGATGTGAAGCTTCTGCATATCAGAAGCTCTTAATGAAGAGGGTTGAAGAAAATCTCGGTTCCATTGGAAATACAAAGGTTTAGTGCTTTTAATTCTCATCTCTTAACCTGCAAAATCATATTATTATTTAAGACAATTACTGTGGTTGAGACTTATCTCTCTTTGCAGGCTCGATCGGTGCATAACTCTGTCATGGAGCTTCGTAACATATGTAATCACCCATATTTAAGCCAGCTTCATGCAGAGGAGGCATGCCTTTCCACTTTTGCTTACTTTGATTTTTCATACCATTGGAGGAAGATGAAATATATAATTGTGCTTTTCTTTATTATTCTTAAATTTTTTCTCCCATCTCTTCATTCCATTATAGCTACCATCAAAGGATAAAGCATTTGTTTCCCTATTTTGTTACCGCCTTTTTTATTTTTTTTTTCCCCATTTTTAAGGCAAAACTAATTCTGGGGCCACTTTTTTTAGGTGGATAGTTCGCTACCAAAACATTATCTGCCATCATTGATTAGACTTTGTGGAAAGCTTGAGATGTTGGATCGATTACTCCCCAAGCTGAAGGCAACTGACCATCGGGTATGAGCTTATATGTTTATTCTTTGGGCAATATCAGTATCTTACACATGTGAGAATTACTGTCCTCAAAAGATTGTGGCAATTTTTTAGAGAGGTTTGTTTCTGATATTTTGTAGTAATGCTGCTTGCTGGGATTTGGGTTTAGATTTAGATTTGTGAATGAGGCAGTCTTCCTTGTATGTTGTTTGATCCTTTGGTTTGTGTGCAATAGGGATCATGGTGTTGTTAGTTTTTAGTAACATTTAAGTGTTTTGCTTCATATTTATCTCTAAGATTGTGCTTCATGCTTTATGGGTATATGCTTAAAGATTGTGGTCTATAGCATCTGAAACATTCTTAACATGATTACTCTCTCTGATCTATGCATATGCCCTTTTCCTTTCTTAGTAATATTTTAGTTTCATTCTGACACTCCATGAAAAATCAATGATTTGAAGAGTTGTATTTAGAGTTTAAATTTGCAGGTCTTTTCTCTTCAATAATTATGTGTATATATATTTTGTTGAATTATGTTGAAGCATTTTAAACATGATTGTTTTTGCTTATCCATGTTGCGGCCCTTGTTTTTCCTTCTTTTTCAGTTATTATTTTGGATTCATTCTGGAATTGTATGAAAATACAATTCTCTGAATACTCATGTTAAGTGTTGAAATTTGCAGGTTCTCTTCTTTTCCACAATGACTAGGTTGCTTGACATTATGGAAGAGTATCTCACAATGAAACAGTATCGCTACCTTCGGCTGGATGGACATACATCTGGGAATGATCGTGGTGCTCTTATTGATGGGTTTAACAAACCAAATTCTCCTTTTTTCATATTTTTGCTCAGGTAATCTATACTTCAACTTATGTCATAATAATTCTCTTGGCATTTTAGGTTTTTTTTCCTTAGTTGTGAGGAATTAAGGTACTGGGTTGGAGCATGATGGGAAGAGGGAGGGACCGTAAGCCTTATTTGGCATTGCTTTCATAGCACCTTTCCCCACTACCTCATTGTCTTATGGGTATCTTTGGGTTAGGCAAATTTTTTGTAGATTGCTTTCTCAGAAACCTGTAGACAGCCTCAACAGTTTTCCAAATAAAATAGAAAGCTACATGTCAAGGAAAGCACTAAAATTATTAATAAAATTTCAAAAAATGGCTACAAATATTTTCATTATGATTACCAAACATTAAAATTGATCATAACACAAGTACAACACTTTTGATAAATGGTTATCCAGATGCTAAAATGGCTTTTGGCAATGGGCAACAGCGTAGCCCCCGCCCCCCCCCCACCCATAGTCACAGCACTACACAACAATCCCAAATAGAACCTATATCGAGTGGAGCTTTGAATTTTGTATATCTGAACCTGATATTCTTTGGGATCCTTCCAACTTTTGTGGGTTGGAAAATTGAAATTTTAATTCTTCTAGAAAATTTATTATAAGATTCACAGTGCTTTCCAATCATCACAGTCTGCTCCTAGTTATTAATATTTAAAAGACCCCTTTGCGATATGATCATTTGATTGTGTTGATTTCAGTATTCGGGCTGGTGGTGTTGGAGTCAATCTTCAAGCTGCTGATACTGTGATCTTATTTGACACTGACTGGAATCCTCAGGTTGTATATAAGTTACCTTTACGTTATCATCATTCCATTTTAATTTTTGACTCTTATCTGATTTTATATTCGTTGGTCATTGTCAGGTTGATCTGCAAGCACAAGCAAGGGCTCATAGGATTGGCCAGAAGAAAGATGTGCTTGTTCTTCGTTTTGAAACAGTAAGTTCCAATTTGCTTGTTATTTTTTGTGATAATGTACGTAATTAGATTGAAATAGTATATAAATTTAGAATGCTCTAGTGGCACAGTGGATGTGGTGTCCAATAATTTTTTAATGTGTATACTTTATGATCTTGTAATTACCAGCTGGTAGTTTTACTTAGAATTGAATTTCACTAATTACCATCCACTTTCTCTCTCTCTCTCTCTCTTTTCTTGTTTTGTCTAATAAGGTCCAAACGGTTGAAGAACAAGTTAGAGCTTCTGCTGAGCATAAACTGGGAGTTGCTAATCAAAGCATTACTGCTGGTTTCTTTGACAATAATACAAGGTAAATTAGTACTTTTGTATAGGGTTAGAAGCAGCTTCAGAAATTGTTTTTGATTCATGCTCTCAAGGAAATTTCTGGAATTCTATCTACAGTGCTGAGGATCGTAGAGAGTACTTGGAGTCACTATTGCGGGAGTCTAAGAAGGAAGAAGCTGCCCCAGTATTAGATGATGATGGTCTAAATTATCTCTTAGCTCGCAGGTAATCTATTCCAGATTTTCTTCTTATTGATTACTCTCCCTCTAGTATGTTTTGCAATTGGTGACAGTGAGCAGTTAATTTGCTGTATTTTGGAAATCATGTTATCTGTGGTTGTTGTAAAATCAAACAATTAATTGGTAGTTGTAGCAGGAATCTGGAGGAGGACTCTTATATGAATGAAGGCCACATTCTGAGTAGTCATGTTATCCTTTTTTTTAGGCCAGCAGTAGTCACGTTATCCATTTAACTTGAATTAAGGGACATTGCCTCATTGCATTTAAGGCCATATATGGTTGCTGGTCCTGGTTGCTGCTATTAGTTTAGATGGGACTCATTTAGTTTCTTCTCCCATTCAGTTCATGGGCCTTGTACTGTATGTCAAATATGATGATTGCTGTCATGTTGGTGTTTTTCTAACCTTTAGCTCCCTTTGGCCAAAATGAAACTTTAGTTCCCTGCAGCCCGGAACCTCACTTTAAATTTATTGTTTAGTGGAATATTTTAATGATGCTCTCCACATTGCAGTGAGTCAGAGATTGATGTATTCGAATCAGTTGACAAACAAAGGCGGGAAGAAGAGATGGTATGCCCCTTTGTAGCTTAAAATATGCTTGTACTGAGGCCTTCCTGTTTTTCTAATGCATTGTCCTGAAAACTTCTAATGTTCCAGGCAACATGGAAGAAGTTGGTATCAGGCCAAGGGATTGATGGTTCAAGGCCCCTGCCAGCCATGCTGCCATCTCGCCTCGTTACAGATGATGACTTGAAAGAATTTTATGAAAAGATGAAGTTATATGAAGTGCCAAAGACTGCAGTAGCATCTAATGTTGGGGTAAAGCGGAAGGGTGAATATCTTGGGGGTCTTGATACTCAGCAATATGGAAGAGGCAAACGAGCAAGAGAAGTAAGTTGATTCTATCTGATTTTTGTAGCCTTTCTAATTTAGTATTATCTTTTCATTTACCTTCATCTTGATTTTTCTTTATTAGGTGCGCTCATATGAAGAACAATTGACAGAGGAGGAATTTGAAAAGATGTGTCAGGCTGACTCTCCCGAATCCCCCAAATTGAAGGAGGAAATAATTGAGAGGAACTTGCCAAAAGGCACATCAATTGAACTTGTTGATAGCTCAGAACCCCTCATTTCACCTGTGCAGCAACCACCACAAATGGTGGAGGTTTTGCAGGAGCCGCAGCAGCAAAATAAAGACGCAACACCATCTAAACGGGGTCGTGGAAGGCCAAGAAGAACAACTACAGAGAAATCTCCTACTGCAGCACTGCCTCCAGCACCTTCTGGTGTTGGCAAAGTAGACGTTGGGTTACAGAGAGGGATAGATTCTAGCCCTTTAGCAACCTCCACTCCTAATGCTTGTTCTTCTTCTACTCCTGACTTGCAGCCAAGTGCACTTTCCCATTCTAGCACTCCTGGTTCTCAGACTACTCCTACTGGCCCTTCTGCAGTCATCCAATCAAGAGGTCAAGGTCGAAAGGCTCACAGTGGAGGACAAGCACCTCGGCGGCGGGGAAAGAAACAAGAACCAGTATCTCATGCTGTTGCTGATAGTCTATCTGCTCTTTCTCCGAAAGTAAATGAGGAACCACAGATTAAATCTCCTTTGGATGGTCAAACAATTAACACAAGTGAAACTACTTCAACTGCTCCTTTAGCCAACATTGTTGCTGTAGAGTGCAGCAGTGGAGCTAAGGATGCTAGGATTGCTTTGGATTCTCACTCTGCCCTTCCTTCTGCTGATACTACCATTCCTCAGTCCTGTCCAACTGTCCCTTCCATACCTGTCCAAGTTAGAGGTCAAGGCAAAAAGGGTCAAACAGGCACTGGAACACCTAGGCGGAGGGGAAAGAAACAGGCACAAGTAGCACCTGCTATTCCAGATGTTTCAGCAGGTCAGGATTCAAAATTGAATCCACAACCACTGGAGAAGTCTGCTGACTCTTTGAAGGGTAATCAAGAAGATGCTCAGGCACAGATGGAAGTTATGCCGGCGCAAGTGCAGAGAATAAGTGCACCTGCCACTGGAGGTGGTGAGGATAAAAAATCAATTGAACACAATGATTTTGTTGGCCATCAGGAACAGCCCGAGAGTTCATCAGGAGTGCATGAAGACACTGTCATATCCCTTGGTAAGAACAGTTCACATTTTTGTCTGGATGAAAATTTAATGCTTGCATCTTCCCCCGCTTCCCTTTTTTTTTTAGTGAAAATGCATGTATCCTGAAATTAAGGACTCTGGAATTTTCCTTGCAGGTCCTGCTGCTGGACTAATTCAAAATGCTGATTTGCATGGAAAGGCTTCCGTGACAAAGGAGGTTTCATCTGAAGGCAGTGCTTCTAAAGGTAATTCTGATGAGTGCCACAATAATGAAGGTGGGGCTGCCCAGGCTGTACCTGTATTGAGTAAAACATTAACTGAGGTGGTCAACAACCAAAGTTCAGACAATAAAGTGCATACAGCCATGACAATGGTTAATACAGCTTTAGTTTCTAGTTCCCCAACTGATTGCTTGTCTGCTGCTAATCCTCTAGAGAGTGCCAATAAAACCATGAATCAGCTTGCTGCCAACATTACCTCCAGCTCTCAGGCATTTCCAACTTATTCTTCTGTAGCATCAGTACCTCATTCTGCCCCTCTTTGTGCTCCTGAATCTGTACCAGGTAGAAGGCAAGGTCGAAAGACCCCAAATAGAACTGAAGCACCCAAGCGCAGGGGAAGAAAACCTGCTGCTCCTGATGGTTCATCTGGCCAGGATCCAAAGCCTAATCCATTGGGAAATAAAGCTGTTGCTGTGAGAAGCAAGCAAGAGACTGCCACTCATGAGGTGTCAAATGTTATCCAGGTACATGCAGCTGAAGTTCCTTCTCCTGGTGGTTTAGTTGGCCAAGATCCAAAGAGGAAAGAGACTCCAGCAATCCCAGCATTTAGCCGAATTCAGACAGCTGATATAAGTGATGTTGCTCGAGTGATGAAGGAAATTTTTTCTGATACCTGCTTATCAAAAGCTAAAGTTGGTGAGTCTTCTGGGAATGAAAGTAGGAATCTTCCTGCTGACCCTTTATCAAGTGTGGAGGTGGCTAAAAATCATTGTCCAGTTAGTGAAGTGTGTTCGAACTTGCCAGCTCAAGAAAAGGCAGCTCCATCTTCTGATGTTCCAATTGACGACCATAAGAAGCAGCCAGTGGCAGAAAGTGACAGTGGTTCTGTTAAGAAGCAGCCAGTGGCAGAAGGTGATGTGACAGAGGATGACAGTGGTCCAGTCAAGGAACATGTTTCTGAAACCGATGCCTGCAAACCTGAGTGCAAGGCAGCTGCTGTCCCTGTGAGCATTTCAGAGTTGAAAAATAATGAAAATTCATTAATGGAATGTTTGAACTCACCAGCTCTTGAAAAGACAGCCCCATCTATTGGTGTTCAGATTGATATACAGAAAAGCCTAAATGGTTCAGAAGCTAATTCAAATGCAACCCTTCCAGTTATGGCCAGTGTTCCACAAACTGAAGCCCTGAAACCTGAATGGGAGGCCCCTACCGTCTCTAAGACCACTGTTGATGCAGATTCAAGAAAATTTCCCAATGAAAACCATGATATGCAATGTGTGAAATCACCATCTCTGGAAAAAGCGGCTCCTTTCGTTGGTCTAGATAAAATGCTGCCTGGGATAGTTGTTGAAGCGAAAGAGGCAGGTGGCAATGCTCCCACTGTGATTGAGGCCTCTCTTTCTGGAGCTGATGGTTTCGAACCTGAATGTGCTGTCACCTCCTGCTCTGAGAACATTGCAGATTCAAGAAAAGATCTGACTGATAATTCAGTAATGGAGTGTTTGAACACACCAGCTCTGGAAAGAGATGCTCCATCTTGTGATATTTTGATTGATAAAAATGAAGAGCAACCTGGGATAGAGGTTAATGCCAAAGAACTTGGAGCACAAGGAGGGGCGGTTGATGAAGCTGATAGTGATCATGTTGAGGTTTGTGATGTAAAAGATAAAGCCACAGAAGCACAAGCATCAGCTGGGCCAACATCAGAAACAGCACTTGTAGTTTCTAATCTTTCAAATGATGACCATATCAAACCGTCTGGGACTGTGGCTGTTGCTATGGGATCAGATGACTTTGCTGTAGTGGATCTTACCCCTGTTTCAGAAACCATTGCTTTGCAACTTGAATGCAAGGACACTGTTGGAGAGAGTAACATGGAGATTGAATGTAGAGTTCCTTCCTGTGCTGGCGCACAGAGATCAGAGAGTCCTGATGGATTTGGAAATACTGAATATAATCATGTTCAGGTAGGTAATGCAGAAGTTAGGTCCTTGGAAGATTTGTTGAAATCTGGTGAGACTGATAATACAGAGCTTGTTCATGATGAGCATAGAGGAAAAGATCTGTCAGTTGAAGTTGAGAGATCTGCAAGCCATTCTATCGATGCCTGCAAGGTAGAAAACTGCAATGATACAGAACCTATGGAAGTCACCACTATTGAATCTTCCAATATGGAGGTTACTCAGAATGATAAATGTAGAACTGAACCCCAAACAGAAGATACTTCACTGAAATCTGGTGACTCAGAGAATATAGAGCTTATTAGCAATGAGTGTCCTGGGCAGCATTTGTCACTAGAAGTTGAGATATTTGAGGGTGATACTGCTGAGATGTGCAAGGATGGAAAACCCTCAGAAGCAGAACCTAGGGAAGTGATCGCTGTTGAATCTGCAAATATAGAGCTTCAGAATGACCAAGGTAGATCTGAGCCCCAGTCAAATGATCACTTGCCAAAATCTGCCAGTTTAGACTCTGATAATATGGATCGTGCTTTCAATGAGCATGCGGAGCAACCTGTGTTGCTAGAAGTTGAGATATCCAGTGGTGATTCAGTTCAAGCCTGCAATTTTGAAAAACCCTCAGAAAAAGAACCTATCGTCACTGTTGAACTTGAATCTGGAAATAAACCGAATGATCAAGGTAGAACCGAGCTCCAGGCAGAGGATCCTGTTTTGAAATCTGATGATACTGAGCTTGTTGATGAGGATGTTGGGCAACATCTCTCACCAGAAAATGGGAAATCCAAGGGTGATTCAGTTCAAGCCTGCAATGTAGAAAAACCCTCAGAAGCAGAACCTATGATCACTGTTGATTCTGGCAAAACACCAAATG